CTAAGAGATTCTGTCTCCTTCATGGTGCATCGTTTGACAGATGCATAACCGCGCTTTTTTCATGTCTCGCCGTCTTTTCGTGTACTTGTCTGTCACCATTTTGTCACTAAAGACTGTTTATCCGATCTGTTCATATGCAGCGATTGATCGCTGTGCGAAGCATGCCTTTTCACAAGTTGATTTTATTGCGAGTCGAAAAAACTTCAACGGGTGGCCGTCGCCACCTGTCTGTCTGATCATTTGTCTGTCACTGGTTTTTCAGCGCAGTAGCCGCTCTCGGTTTGGCAAGTTTAAAGGTCGACTCTGGATTTCGGATCTAGAAAACTTTTTTTGAAATATGCTAATGTGTATTAAATCAACTTTTATAAAATTATCAAACAGAATATAATTTAATACAGGAGCTGAACCAGTATGTGCTGTGGTCGTAAACGGAGAACTGGGCAGTAGCCATGGAAGCTAAGTGTTTTCAAGCCCGTTTATACGTTACCACCCGTACAAATGGTGATAAATCCTTGATATTGGCCGAAAAAGTCTGGTGACGAATACAAGCAGAAAAATTTGGGATTCTTAGAAGGATTGTAGGTATGACGAAATTCGATAGGTTCAGTACGACAACGGTTCAGAATCGGACAGTTCAAAATATCGTCAATTGCCAGCCTCTCTTTCTGCAGGTCGAAAGTTCACAATTATAGTGGTTTGACCATGTGATCGCTATGCTACGAAGAGACTCGCACCCTCCCTTACTTAGTCACATGTAAACGGTTCAGGAACAAACCGTGAAACGGATACTTGATTATATGGAACACTGGACATTGTCGTGTTTTGAACTCCTGACCACTGAGCTGATTCGTCTGATAGCAGGCAGGAACCATTCAAAAGGCCTGCTGAATCAGTTGCCACTGCCATCCTTATATCAATCGTCCATTAATTTACTCATCCACTATATTCAGCATATTTTTTCACTTTCTCCCGTTCTCTTCAATCTCTCGCGATAGTATCATGTTTTCGTAATACCAGAACCAATTGCCCTGAGCCATATCTGCGCAATACCTCGGAGGAGTGGATATATGCTTCTTAAAGGAAATGTAGGATGTCGTCAGACTCAGAATGGATGACGTACCAAGGATTGTAAATGCTCACATAGAAGCTCATTCCCGGCAGCTTGAATGACCTCTGAAGTGACCAGGTTGTTCCTCAACGTCGGACTTGGCTCATTTTCTGTCGGCTGCTAACGAACTCAAGATTTTTTCTACAATTGTTAACGTTTCACTTGGCTTGCGTTGCGCTTCTTTGTTGATGCGATCTTCACCTATCGTGTCTTGTGATAAAGCCATGCACAGGATTTGACGGTTTTTTTCTACTTCGTTCGCCTTCGATTCTTTGTTTAAATTTCGCACTGGCCAAAAGAAGGTGTTTTTTTTTCGCAATTCACCTCACTGCACCATGACGTCCCTCAGCTTTCTGCATTTCTCCACAACACCATGCAGTTGAAAAACCTTTAATCCAGTTTCGGCGAAGATTATAGCAACGACAGCTACCGATGATGTGCTCGTTTTGATAAATATATCGGTTTATATTTACCCGGCAAGCCGCGCTGTTTACTCACTAAACGTATTACTGATAGTTGTCTTATCGGTCAGTTTAATCACAAAAAATTTTAATGCTATTTGCTCTGCGCAAAGATCCGCTCGATATGCAGCACGCTCGGGAACATTGCCCATCTGAAGGGACACGTTTATCATGAACATTGCGATGGCAAAAGTGGTAATATGATAACCTAACGTTTTGTACGGCAAAACGAGTCTTGTTTTCTAAAATCATCATTTTGAGTCATTTGCATATGCATTGCGTTTCAGGGTTCTTATGTACATTTTATTCACAGCTTCGCTGTACTTTAACTATAGACCCTAAGTTATTGCAGCGTACGAGGAACAATCGTTCTTCAAAAGCAGACCTCCACATTAATCATCCTTGTTGCACGCCGGCCTCTTTGTCGACTTCCGCAGTGTTTCAGCTCCTACACGAGAAGTTCATGGTTAGAATAAACGAAATAAA